AAATTGTGCAATATTTTTAGTATCATAATATGTTTGCTAAAACACTTCCACTTGATTTGTTTGTGGAAGTTTAGGTAGAGGGTGGACTGGTAAGGTTAGGGGAGAGATAAGACATACAAAGCTTTGTGTATCGGTTTTTATTTTCTCAGGGAACTCTTGCAGCAGACAAGAATGAGATTTTGTATTCTGAATTCAACATCAACTACAATAATGAGCCGCTGCTGTATAGGAAAGGGACTGTGTTGATATGGCAAAAGGTAATGCTGTTGTTTCCTAAGAAAAAATGGAGGTCAGGAAAGAAGAGAGTTTCTGCCCATCCCAAGTGTGTCTCGCCTGCTACCAGTATGCTGGTGTGACTGCAGTTGCTAACACGAGTTAGATCCTTTCCAAAACGAGATGCTATAGGTTTCTATTTCGATGCCTTTTTTTCTTTGTCAGTCCATGCTCCCTGTATCAGTTTGTCAGTGATTTTGACTCTCCCCTATAAGTAGAAACACAGAATTTTAGAGATGTTACACTTATTTTTCTGTGTCATAAGCTCTCCTGAAATAAAGTAAAACCCTGTTAAAGGGTGATAGTACAGGTATGAGGATTTTTGCATTCATAGAACATTTAAAAGAGTACGTTCTCCCAAACTGGATAAGACCATTAAATGATCCATCCATCCTGTGACAACTGCAATATGGGGCCCTAAGACAGTGGTTCTCAACCTTCTGGCCCTTTAAATACAGTTCCTCACGTTGTGACCCAACCATAAAATTATTTTCGTTGCTACTTCATAACTGTAATGTTGCTACTGTTATGAATCGTAATGTAAATATCTGATATGCAGGATGGTCTTAGGTGACCCCTGTGAAAGGGTCGTTTGACCGCCAAAGGGGTCGCGACCCACAGGTTGAGAACTGCTGCCCTAAGAGATGTTGATGTGAGGGTTCTGACACTTGTAGAATATTCATGAGATTCCCCAGACATTCATACCCCTTAATATTCTGTAATGAGTGTACACTTACCTAAGTCCTTAATTATACCAATATTTTCTCTCATACCAGCCCCTGGGCATAATGACTTCTCTAAGTTTATTTCCTTTCATCCAAAGTAGTTTTTCTGAAATGTTTTTAAGTATTAAGGGGAACCTTGAGAACGGGTCATTCCATTAGCAACTTCAGCTCTTTTATTAGTATTTTTAAAGAACATTTAAGCTTTGGCACAGACTTGGATATTTCCTAATGCAGATGGAAGAGAAAAAAATACCACTAATTCTATAGTTTTTGCTAACAAGGAACAAGAAATCTTTATTCCTAAGATGTTCTTTTAGAATATAGCAAAATGATTCTTTTTAAAAGTATTTTTAATTGTAAAGAAATTCACGTATGTTGAGCTATGTGTGTGTGGTCTGATAAATGTCTTAGTATATAAAGTAAAAAATAAACCTCCCTCACATCTCCCCCTTCTCTCCCAAATCCACTCTCAAGTTAACGATGTCAATATTTTTACTTAACCTGTAGGTGGATGAAGTTACGACAAAAGAAGTTAAACTGCCAGCAGAAATGGAAGGGAAAAAGATGGCAGTGACCCGAACCAGGACTAAGCCAGTGCCCTTGCACTGTGATATCATCGGGGATGCTTTCTGGAAGGAACACTCAGAGATCCTAGATGAAGACAGCTGACCCTTTGCTTTTGTGTCCTGCTGTGCTTAACTATGGAAGGCCCCCAAGTCTTCTGGCCTTAGGTGGCCCAAGCATTCCTACCACCCAGAACAGTGTCCCAGGGGTGACATGACTGGTTGGGAGGGGAACAGGGAAGGAAGGCATGGATGGGTGTGGTATCTTGTTCTGCTTTAAGTGGAACGCCTTTTTTGCAATGTTGGAACATGGTTCCTTTGGTAGAAGTGCATTTTAAAAAAAATTGTGATACTATTTTTATACAGTGAGATTTATTTTATGCCTTACAGAATGGATCATTTTTAGGTTGTGGCATTAAGTTTTACAAAACCTGCCAAACTCTTTTCATCTAAGATAGAAGATGAGCCCAAAGGTTATTTTTGCGCACCTATTCCTAACTAGAGAATCCAGTGACTTTAAATCTCACCTTTCCCACTCATCTACTTGCATTCATCTTTGGCAGACCTGGAGATAAATATAGCTTGATGCCTGCAGTATGATTCTGAATTGAAGAATTCCAGGGAAAGCTCAGGGCTCTGTGTCAGTCTCCAAGTTGGCAACCTTGTCTGAACAAATGAGTAGATTGGATGTTCTTCTTAAACATTTGTAGATTGATTTTGTAGAGTTAATTAGCATGATCATTCTCTTGCCAGGGGCATTATTTGCCAGACCAAGGATCTCTTTCTAAGAATCCTGTATAATAAAAGCCTGATATGCAAATGGTCCCCTCTACTGGGTGTTCAACTGGAGGTTGGACCAGAAGTTCAACCAGGGGGTGGGGCTTGCCAGCCAACCACCTGTGGCCCCTCCCCCTGAGTGGCGGCAGGCAGCTGCACGAATTTCATGCACTGGGCCTCTAGTTATGTGTATATTTGAGAGAGAGAAAATGTGTGAGAATGAGTGAACAAAGGAGAAACATTCACTCCACGTTCTTTAGATACTTAAAAGTCACCTTGTCACCAGTTGGACTATCTGAAAAAGATTATCAGGTAGCCTCTGTATAATCAGAACAATGACATTGGAGTTGGAGAGCAGAGGGGTCAACACTCTGGGGTTACAGGTGGCAGGTGTCAAAGGAATCCTAATAGCTCCACCTACTGATGGCCTGTAGAGATGGGTTGGGTGAGGTGCCCAGAGAGCTGCAGCAGTAATTTCATGTTGCCAAGCTCTTGGCCTCTGAAAAGGGGGAGGTAGTGCGGACAGGTGGTAGAAGTCACATTGCCTCTTGTCCTCATTTCATATTTTAGAGGAAAGTCATTTGGCTCTATTAAGAATTAAGAAGCAACCCACGTCTCAGTGCCTAGTCCCGCATTGCAGAATTTACAGCCAAGAAGAAAATGTATTTTTGAAAGTGACGGCTGGTCTCATCCCTCAGCAATTGATACCCCATCTGTCAACGCCATGTTTTCCCTTCCTGTTCTCCAGAGGAATAGGAGATGTTTAGTAATTGATAAAATCTTGTTGAGAAGAAAAATAAAGGTTTCAATTCTTTTGGCCTGAATTTTCATTTATTTTTCTCATACAAATGCAGTGTATGAATCCAAATTTTGTATGTGTTTGTATATCTACATAAGCCAGAATACACATACCTTTCATCATAGCAGTGGTTTACAGACTTAATGGATGCAAATATTTACTTGAAATGCTTGTTTAAAATGCCAATTCCATATTCCCTCCTTTCCCCTCCCCCCAAAAATTTGGGGTTCAGTAATCTGCTTTATAATCCCAAAAGCTTCTGGTGTCTGGTCATTGATATGCTGCATTTTGGGCCCCAGGTATACTGTGACAGGCCAAATGAAGCAGTAAGATAATGTAGCTCTTAGCTGGGAAATTTAAGTGGTAAATTTATAGCATTTCATACAAAATAAATATATAGGCATTAAAATACAAGTTTTAAAGACAAAACCATCTGAAGAAATGTGCTATGTAATACTACAAAGGCTATCACTTGATTTTGTTATAAGGTAAAGGAGACCAGCACTTGTTCCTTGAATTGCCAGCAGTTTGCAGATTTGAGATTTATTTTTTGGCACAAGGTTTCGAACAAATGAATATACTAGGTTTAAAACTCAGGCCCTAACTAAGTCTATAGTGCTATTACGTAGAAGCGCCATGCTTGATGGGTGTTGTATGCATTCCAATGTACATTGCAGTTTTATATTCGTTTTCATCTTGCTAAGAGAATAGTGTTCTCTTGGGCTTCCTTTCCAAAGCTAAAGAAACTTTAAGATATACACAAAAGCAGCTGGTACAGAGTTAATATTAACTGATAGTTTCAGGGACTAGTGGCAGATTTTTGTGGCCTGTAGGTAACTGGAATATCTTACCTCTACTGGATGAGGGAACGATTAATACCTGGGCCTTTGGTGCAGACTATCATTTTAATACCAAAAAAATGTTTTGCAGAGCTGGGGCTATAAAGTACAACCAATCTTGTAAATCCTCCATCCTGGTTTACAAGAGCTGGATCATTTCCTCCAGTTGCTTAGCAATGTTCAGAAAATCAGTGATATAATGAATTTTCTTTAATACTAAGGTTCCTGGTGTTAGTGCAAATTACTTTTTGAATAGGATGTAGGAAATGGAAGACTGGGATCTATCCACTCTAAATTATTTCACTGTGCACTTAACCAATATTAGCTAACATTCATAGAGCATTTATTATGCACTCCATATGCTCTATATCTTCATTCTTAGGACAATTCTAGGACGTAGGTACTATTTCTGTTATGTTTCAGATGAGAATGTAAAGATCCAGAAAAGCTAAGTCATTTGAGTGGTACTCAGCATGGAAAGCAAATTGGGACATTCCTTGCCCTCTACCCGCCAGCTCATGAGAGCAGAGAAACGCCTGGGGAGTGTGTTAACACGCTGGCCCGGGGAATTTGGAGTATTAACAAACATCCTAGATCAGTGGTTCTCAACCTTGGCTGCACATTAGAATCACCTGGGAATCTTTTTAAAATCCTGATTTCTGGGCCTCATCCTCCGGAAATTCTGTTTCTTTGTGATGGGGTGGGGGCCATAAAATTAGTAACAAACAGAATTTCCGGAGGATGAGGCCCAGAAATCAGGATTTTAAAAAGATTCCCAGATGATTCTAATGTGCAGCCAGGTTGAGAACCACTGCCCTAGATCATGACAGATGGGGAAACTGCATTAAAGCAGGCTAACCTGTCACCCGCCCGCTGAGGCCCCGAGGGGGCGGGGCCGGCCCTGGCGAGCCGCAGCCGCGCGCCACGCCCCCGGCGAAGCGGACCGCGGACGGGTGCGCCCTCCGGCGGCTGCGCCGGCGCAGTGCGACCCCGCCCCGCGGCTGCGCAGTGCCGCCCTCTGGCGGCCCCGCTCCTCCTTCCCATCGGCCTCCGCTTGCGGGCCTTTCAAACATGGAGGAGCGGGAGCGGAAGTGGGGGGCGAGGTCGCCCGGCGCCGGCAGCCCCCCGCGCCCGCCCAGCCCGCGCCTGGATGTCAACTCCGACCTCTTCGACCCGCTGCTGGCCCTGTACGCGCCGCGCCTGCCCCCCATCCCCTACCCCAATGCGCCCTGCTTCAACAACGTGGCCGCCTACGAGACCTTCCTCAGGACCGGCTGCCGGGGCGGGCGCGGGCGGGCGCGGGGCGCGGCCCCGGCCCCGGCCCCAGGGGCCCCGGCCGCCGCCGGACCCTCGAGCAGGACCCGCCGCCGCCGGGACGCCCCCGCCCCGGACCCCGAGCGCATCGAGCGCCTCCGCCGCCTCATGGTCAAGAAGGAAGGGGACGCGGGCGACGGGGAGAGCCGCCGCGCCCCGGGCCGGGGCCGGAGGGCGCCGCGCAACGTGCTCACGCGAATGCCCTGTGAGTCTGGCGGGCGGGGCCGAGGGGACGGCCGAGGGGGCCTTTGAGGGGTGATAGGGGCTACCTGTTAGGGGGAGGGTCTCGGGGCAGGTGTGCGGAGATGGCGACGGGGGGCGGACAGAGGGGGGGTTGTGCTGGAGTGACGTGGGAAATGGGGCGGTGGTCTGGAGGAATGGAGGGTCTGCATGAGCCGCGGGCAGTGGAAAAGGCTGTAGAGGCCCCGAGGAGCCGTGGGGAGGGTGGGCGTAGGGAACGGGTGTCGGTCTGCAGAGGCGGCTCAGTCCACGGAGGTAGCTCCGGGGAGAGGCGATGAGCCTGCCGAGAGGATCCGCAGGAGGGGCGGGGTCTGCAGGGGCGGTGGGGCCGGACCGCGTCGGGAGGGTTTGCTGGCGCGACGAGGGACCACGGACGGCGGAGGTGGTGCACAGCCAGTGCTGGGGAGGAGCGGTCGGTGGGAGGTGGGGATGGTGGGACGGCGTGTGGGGAGGTCTCTTCGGAGGGCACCTCAAGTAACGGCCCATTCTGGGCGCTCCCAGCAGGAGAAGGGTTTGCAGGGTCCGGACACTCACACGCTCGCGTTGCCAGTCGCACGTGCTGGAAGGCAGCAGGCACAGTGCCGCCGAGACACGCACCGTGTGACGGCCGCTCTGCGGGGCTGGGTGCAGGCTGTGTCTGTCAGGCGCTCTCATTACCGCGAGCGCAGGTTATTTTAAGTTCTGAAGGTGTAAGTGGCTCAGGGGAATTTCCTAATAGATCCCCAGAGGAACGCTGTAAACAGCAGAGGCTGCTCCTGTGCGAGGTAGGTCTCGTATAAGCAGAATAAAAACAGCCCAGGGTGATATATCTCTTGTCGCCTGGCAAGCCGTCCTGACATTTGCCCCGTGAATGCAGTGACCTACTTAGCCACTCGGAGCACCTGGACCCTGACAGCGAAACGGTGACATTATTAAGTCACTCGCTGCCTTTGGAACGGGGGATTGCGCTAAGCAGGGGTATATGTTGTTTTATTCCTAGAAATGTGTTTGTGAAGGGAGAGACATCCTGAAAATGGGTATGCTGTTAGGGGCGCCTTTGTCAGATGATGCACCGTGCGGAACATCCCTGCCCACGATCGGGGTTCACCCCAGCTTGCTTGTCCAGCAGCAGCACAAAGATGGAGTTTCATGTTCTTAAAATAAGGGCAGTTTGGAGACCCGATTTTGCCTCTACTTTTTGCCACATCAGACTGAGCGTGTAACATTCGTTTCCATTTTGCCAGTTAATTGCTTTGCTACCACGATTGTCAAGGAAAAGAAATATTTCTGTGTGGTGGGTGGCTTTACCTGTACCTACGGAGCACTTTGCTGTATTATTCTGACAGTGTGAAGACCAGCTTTGTCGACTTCCCACGATAAAATATATGCCTGGAGTCAAGGTCTCAGAGATTGTGCCCTAGGCACTGAAAATTTTAATCAGGCCCCTGGAAACAGTGGAGTGTACATGATAGAGGTGGGTGGGCATCACACAGGGTTGATGACCTTCAGAAAGCAAAAACAACATCAATAGAAGCAAACCACCCCCCCCTCCCCCCCAGCATGGGTGAGGATTAGATTTATTCAAGAAAGAGTTCCTATAAGAGGTAAGCTTTAGGTCTTGAAATTAAAGAGGGGCATGATTTCGGATTAACAGTAATTATTTGAAAATCAGGCTATTGAGGTATAATTTACATAGAGCAGAATACAACCTTTTAAAGTGAGTTTTGAAATCTCCACAATCATGATACAGAATAATTCCATCACCCCAAAAGTTTCCTCATGCCCCTTTGTAAGTAAGGTGATAATTTTAGTGTTGCTAATTATACTTACTGTTATTGAGCACATATGTGCTATACACTTTGCTAAGCCCTTTTGATCAGTGGCTCTCAACCTTGGCTGCACATTAGAATCATCTGGGAATCATTTTAAAATCCTGATTTCTGGGCCTCATCCTCTGGAAATTCTGTTTCTTTGTTATGGGGTGAGGCCACAAGATTAGTAACAATCTCAATTATTACCTGTTACTGCCTAGTGTCACATAACTGGTTTAGTTTGCAGCTGAGAACCCCGGGTTTGTCCAACTCCGGGTATGTGCTTACCCATTATGCTAGTCTCAGGAGAGGGAAGAGGAGAGTACGTTGTAATGCTTGCTTGTTGTTGGTGTGTGGAGGATGCTGCATATATGAGGCAGAGGATTTGTGTCCAAAGCACAGAGAATGGAATTTGGGTTCAGAGAGGGATTTGTTGCTAGAATGTGTTGAGCCAAACCAAAGATTTTTTTTTGTTCGACTTTGTGATGATAGAGAGTGGGAACCATGGTGTATTTTCTTAAGCAAAAGCACTTTTAGGGCAAATGTTTCTAGAAGTAAAGTTATTTGTGGGTAGAGTAGAACACAGTTTGATTGTCTACGTCTGAATACTGGCTCCACTTTCTAGCTGTTCTGGTTTAGGCAAGTTACTTAAACTCTTGAGGGCCTCAATTTCCTCATCTGGGAAATGAGTACAATGATAGAATCCACCTATTGTTGTGAGGTTTAAATTAGTTAACACATTTAAAGCATTTACAACAGTAATCTTCCTTAGCATATAGGGAAATTCTCAGTGAATGTTAAAAATCACTGTTAGTCATAATTAAAAGCTCTAGGTCAGGATGCATGTAACCTGACATTGAATGTTGGCTCAGCTGTTTACTAGGTAAGTAACTTTGAGCAAATTATTTAAACTTTTTTGAGCCTTGGTTTCCATATTTATAGAATGAGGGGAAATAAGAGTACCTATGTGTTAGTTGTGAGGATTAAGTAAAATAATGTACATAAAGTTAAACTTAGCACAGGGCATGGCCCTCACTGAGGGTTCAGTAAATGATGGTGACAGTGATGATAATGATGTGATTGGTTGTGGAAGGAGAAAGGTCTTAGTTACTGAGAATCTGTTGTCTGAGTTTTATGATTGCCGTGAGCAGAGAGAAGTAAGAGTGGAGTTAAAAAGGACCTGGACTTGGAAGGGTGTGGCCCAAGCATAGTGGCAATGGAAAGGGAGGAGGATTTGGAAGAAAAAAGTCCTGCAAAAATGAGGCTTTTTTTCTCTCCCTTTGGTCATATTAAGTTTTTATAAGCTTAGCTCATATCTATTTGGAATTTGTCACAGAGACTGCTGGAAAGAGATTCAGAATGTGCGTTCTGATTCAGAATGCAGAGCTCATTTTTGCCTTGACAGTTTGCTCCGATAGGTGGTGCTAGTGTTGCACCTTTGATCACAGAAAGAGAGAAATGCTTCCTGGAATTACACCTTATTAAATTTTTGAAAGAAAAAAAAATCAAGAGAATGACACAGATGTGAGTTGAAGACCCGAGCTTACCATTTGCCATTAGAATAAGAGACTGTTGTTAAGATACAAGCTTGTCTTGTTTTTTTGATTTGGGGGTGTGAGGGAAGTGGTATCCTATTTTTTTCCAAGTTAGAAAAAGAATGGTCTTCTCTTTGTGGAAACACATATGTGTATGGGGGTGGGGTGGGGGGGGCAGCGTATGTATATAGGCAAAGGGAGTCAATGCAGGCATTGTAATCACTTTCTAAGACATTGAATTATAGAGATTTATTCTGGAATCTAGAAGCTAACTAACCATCTAACTTCATTTTATAAATGAGGAAACTCAGACTTGTAGAGAGAAAGTTACTCACCAAGGTCACACAACTAGTGATGATGACCTAAATGTTGTTTACAGTGCTGGCTTTAACACAGTCTGTAACACATATCCAGATACATGTACACATACACATACCCCCTTAAATATGAAAAGTGCAAATAATTTTAGGATATTGCTAGAGGAAGGGTAGATGATGAAGGTCAGTCCAAGGTTCTCACGTTTCTTTCCAAGGCTGCTGTTTCTGTCACTCTGCTCCACCTGTGCCTTCTTGCTGAATCTTTAGACTGACATAAGCTCCTACTTCTTATCTGTTAAGTCACTTTCTTCCAAGAATATTTTCTTTTATTTATCACTGCCATCATTGATAAGCGCATCCATGAATGAAGAATAAGGAAGTCAAGAGTAACCAACCTAGCCCGGCCGGTATGGTTCAGTGGTTGAGAATTGACCTATGAACCAGGAGGTCACAGTTCGATTTCTGGTCAGGGCATATGCCTGGTTGCAGGCTTGATCTCCAGTAGGGGGCATGCAGGAGGCAGCTAATTGATGATTCTCTCTAATCATTGATGTTTTGATCTCTCTCAATCTCCCTTCCTCTCTAAAATCAATTAAAAAAATATTTTTAAATAAAGAGTGGTTAACTTAGTTATCCAAACTGAAGTGCAGGACTGTTCTATTTTATGCCACTAGAAATAAAACAGTGATTTTGTTTGTTTGTTTATTTACTATCAATGGCAATCTCCAAAGAATTTTGCCTTGCAAATTTGGGAGGGAGGGAAAAACAGAGACTCTATATGCATGAGTGTGAGAGAGTATGTGTATGTATATGATTTTTCTTTTGGAATTATATATATATAATATATATATCTCAGAATATTGTGAGGTTAACATAAAGCAATAAAAATAAAATTCATACCTGCTCCCAAGCTCCCAAGCTCTGAAAAACAGAATCCATCATAGTAAAGGCTGGCATTATAATCCCAGCATTCTTCTTATGAATTATCATGCTGCTCTTTTTAATGATGTTCATCAGCAGTCTCTCATAGGAACCAGATGCTCAGCCTTGCCTTTACCCCAGCAAGGCTTGGAATACAAGCAGGTGTCTGAGTGCCAGTGTGAAGGTGATGTCCACTGAAACACTAGTGACTCCAGAGAGCTCGTGTGTGTAGTAGCTGAGACTGGGGAGCCTAAAGGCCGTTCTCTCTTGGAGGGTTACATGTGTTTAAGGGCAGATGTGTTACACAATTTATTTTCTTTAAACATATGAGCAAGATTTTTGGTTCTTGAGGAGGCTTACGCTAGATACGTCGTTCATGAGAATTATCCTGAAAAAAAGTTGTCTTAAGACACAGAACTGAGAAGAATCTAGCTGCTATGTATATTTAATGTGGTATTTCTTTTTTGCCCAAAAAGTTTTAAATGATGATGCATCTGAGTCAATGGTTTAGGCCATGTGATATATAGAGGTGAAACTTTTAAATGATAGCCGTTCAGACGGTTTATCCACATTATGAATCTTGTCTCATTTCAGTGTGTATTGCCCATTGACAGCCATATTGCCCAGTGGGCCTTCCTGTTCCCACAGTGAGGTTGCCACTGCACCATGCTGCCTCGTATTGCTGGAGATGGATGGGTGGTCTTGGTTGTTACTTCTGGGAATGAGAGCATATGTTCATGTGATATAACTATTCTTCTCTCGTTTCAGTGCACGAAGGCAGCCCTCTGGGTGAACTCCATCGTTGTATCCGGGAGGGGGTGAAGGTGAATGTTCATATCCGCACTTTCAAGGGACTTCGGGGCGTCTGCACAGGCTTCCTCGTTGCATTTGACAAGTTCTGGAATATGGTAATTAAACCCTCCTTAGGGGGCTGGAGAACCTCTTGGGGATTAAATCTTCTATAAATCTAAAGATCCTGAGTAACCTTATTCAGTGAAACCTATAGAATAACTTCCCAGAAGAATTAGAATCTACACTTTCTTGAGAAATAACAAAAAAAAGTTTCTTTTATTGCTTCTTTTTCCTTAAGGCTGTGGCTTTCAGGAGGGGTGATTTTGCCTTTCTTTCCCTCGGGGGACATTTTTTTTATTATCACAACTGTGGGCTAGAGTGTTACGGGCATCTAGTGGGTAGAGGCCACGGATTCTGCTGCATGTCCTCCAATACATAGACACCCCCCAACAACAACAAATTATCCAGTGCAGAATGTTTTTAGCCAAGATTGAGACACCCAGCCTTAAGCAATAATTACTTATTTCATCTGTTTAGTAATTTTATATTGATTTCCTATTAAAAATATTTATGTTCCACTTTGGCTGGGCACAGTGCTAAGTACAGAAGTTTCAGAAAGAAACTTTCATGCTACTGTTTTTTGAAGATATACATGGATAGAAGGGGAACAGACATATTAATTAGCAAGATAATTTACATGGTATTTCCTTATGAAGGAGTGTACCACACACTCCTAGCCTCCTAGAGACTTACTGATTACTAGATATATGAAGAAAAGTAGGGATGTATTATAGCAATGTCAATCTCCAAAGAATTTTGCCTTGAAAATTTGGGAGGGAGGGAAAAGCAGAATTTTAACTGTGGGGCTGTTAAAATAGGAGCCATCAGGCTTTCTAGTGTTTCTTTTCCATATGGTCGTTCCTCTCCAACTTTTCCCTGTGCTTTATCTCCATCCATGCATTCCCCTGGATAATAATAATAGTTGCTAATGTGTACTAAACACTTGGTATGTGCCAGATACTATACTAAGAACTTTACATATATCATCTCAATGAATGAATTGTAGGTCTGTTCCATTTCACAAATGAAGGAATTGAGGCTACAGATTTTGGAAGATTAGTACAGATCACACTCCTAGTAAGTGGAAGTACCAGGATTTTAGTATATATCTTTCTGACATCAGAAACCCTGGTTTTAATCCTAGCTTTACCACTTGGTAACTGTGTGACTCTAGGCAAGGTAATTTCTCTGAGGCTCAGTTTTTTCACCCCTAAAATGTAAGAATTTTTTTTATTATTATACTTTTACCTTTGAAGCAAAAGGATTTAAGAGAACATATGTAGTGAAAGTGCTGGTAATAATAATACTGTCAGCTTATACTTGTATGGTGATTTACACTTTTCAAAGTAACTTCTCATACACGATCTCATTTCATCCTAACAGCTGTCCTGTGCAGTTGATCTCTCACTGGTGAGAATTCATCAGCAATTCAGTCTATAACTCTGGTCAGTCTCTGTTAATTGCTGTCACAAAACATAGAAACTGGAAAGGGAAAAGATGCAGTAGAGTGTTTCTCAAAACATGGCCTAAAGCTACCTGCACCAGAATCACCTGGGGTTTCTGGTTAAAACGGAAAGCTCCTGGGCTTCATCCCAGACCTATTGAATCTGAATCTCTAGGAGAGTAGTAGCCTAGGATTCACACTTTAATAAGCTTCCTGGATATTTATGAACAGTGACATTTAAGAACTTCTGTGCAGCCATAGAGGCCCCTTACCACAGAAGAAACTTGTCTTATGTGGTCATAGACCACTTGGAAATTTACTCAGAGGGGGCCAGGTATTACCTATTTTTTCCTGCCCAAGAGCTGCTTCACTTAAGTTTAATTCTATTGCAATTAGATGTTATTCTGTCTTAAAAAATTTTTTTCCTGAAAGCTATAAAGATAATATTTTTAACTCCACCTCATTTCCTCCCCTTTGGGCTGTTTCTCTAGGCACTTACTGATGTGGATGAGACCTACCGAAAGCCTGTTCTAGGCAAAGCATATGAGCGGGATTCTTCACTGACTCTCACGAGGGTAGGCAATTTCTCCTGACTTCTTGAGTACCCAGCATGCTTTCAGGCTTAGGAATTAAGATCACTGAGCCCACTGACCAGTGTTTCATAGTGGGAAAGCCCTGGTGCTGTCAACCAGGTATGCCTAGACCAGTGGTCGGCAAACTGCGGCCCCTTGAGTGTGGCTCTTCCACAAAATACCACATGTGGGCGTGCACATACAGTGCGATTGAAACTTCGTGGCAACACTGAAGGGGCCAAAGAGCCACAGTTTGCCGACCACTGGCCTAGACCAAGGTCTTCCTTAGTTTCTCTTCTCATGCATTCTTCTAATTTCAAATGAGTTTCTGCTTCAGACCTGCATATTATTTAAGCAACAGGTTACCTTTTATAAGGCTTAAAAGTCTTTCTGTTTTACCCAGTAGAAATAAGGTTCCTTTTCTCTTGAAACACTTACTGATTTATCTGAGTTATAGGTAGAAATAAAAAATTCATTACTAACTTTTTAAAAATTGTGAAGCAAGTTGTCCAAAGAGCATAACTTGGAATCTGTTCTTTTTCCCTTGTATATTGAAAGAGGGATGTTTAAGGCTAATATTTGTCTTTGCTTTCCTTATAGCTATTTGATCGACTAAAACTTCAAGATTCCTCCAAGAAAGAGGCAGATTCTAAGTCTGCAGTTGAAGACTCCACTCTGTCCAGATACTCCCAGACATCCACTTGGAAGGTAGCCTCAGTGTGGGGAAGAGAAGACACTGACCGGGGCTCACGCAAACATTCCCGCTCCGTCCCATCTTCCCTGCAGGCATCTACAAGGGAGGAGTCCAGGTCAGAGCTGTCAGGGAGGACTATTCGGACAGAAGGGTCTAGTGTGGGAGGTACCTTTTCCAGAGCTACTACCCTTTCTAGGGGCCAGTCCCGTAAGAAAAAGAGAAAGCCCAAAGTAGATTACCAACAGGTATTCACTAGACACATAAATCAGATTTTCATTCGAGGCGAGAATGTCCTGCTAGTTCATCTTGCACAGTGAGCAACTCTGCTTCACTTGAGCTTTAATATTTAGAAACAAAATGCATGAATTGCTGCTATGCTGTATCCTAGTATCCCAGTGAAACCCTGAGTTGGAATGATCCCCTCTGGTACTGCATGTGTTGAGGAGAGAACCAGGCTCAGGTTCTCTGGGAGATGAGCTCCCTGAAGGGGAGACAGGCCTTGGGAGGGTGGGTTGTTTGCATTAATATCAAAGCAGTAATAACAGGCTGCATATGAGTACACACATCTGATTTGGTATCATGCTCTACATCAGACACTCAGACCAAATATACGATCTTCCATTTGAATCAGGGGTTATAGTATGAATTAAATTGACTCTATGGACTCTTTAGTGTGGAGGAGAAAAACCGCAAAAAGAATGATCTCATTTTAAAGCTAGTACTCTGAATACTCACGAATTTGATTCTAAGAGTAGCAGTATAAATTGCCCTGGAACCCTACACCAACATCTTGTAACTGACTGTTGAATTTTGCTCTCCACCATTCTCTCTTAATCAAGAAATGTAATCTATTATCTTTGGGTATCTATAAGATCTAAGAAAGCTACCAATTTATGTAAGGGCAAAATTTGAAAAGTTGGTATGCTTAAAGCAGCAGCAATGAATGCCCTGTTTTTATCCCTCTCCTTATTATGGAAAGGAATGTGGGACCTCAGCAGTCTTCCCTTACCAGAGGTGACTTCTGCGAATGACATACCAGATGGAACTATAAGATGCTCGTGTGGTGGCTTCTTGTCTTTCTCTCTAACTTCTGTGGCATAGTGCTAGTGCATGTACCCTGTGTATTGCCTCTCTGTGACCTGTCCTATAAGCTTTATGACAAGAGACTGTGACCTTCAAGTCTGTCTTCAAAGAGTGCTGCATGAACTCTGTAATATACATGCACCATACAGCTGAGAATCCCTTTTCCAGGCAGGGCTGGTCTTATGTAGAATATCTTTCAGAATGGTTTTCATGAGACAGCAGCAGTAGTTTTATTCCCTGTGTCAGACCAAAGAGGTTCTTACAAACTAGAGTAGGTGTGTCTGTAAGGGACACTTTACTCACAGCCAGCTTCAGTAGCAGAAATACCATAGCACTCTCCAATACTACTTGAATCATGCTATATGCTTTCTCAGTCACCAGTGCAGAATAGGCTACAGACTGTTAGGTAACATTGAATTTTTTTGTTTTGTTTTGTTTTGTTAGTTTATGTTTTATTTTAGATAATTCATATTCAAATTACAAATAAGAAATAGCTAACTAGTTAAAATGCTTGAAAAGAAAAATTTCCCCTGCTGTATTTGTTGTGTAACTTAGATACCTGGTCCTTCTGCTAGATGGGTCACTGGCTTATCATATAATGAAAGGAGAGCCTCAGTGTTTGCCCATCAGACACCTACCTCACAGGAGCACTGAGACAAAGAATTTTAGGAAGGCATTTTAAAGTCTTTAAACATGTTTAGGAACCATGAGTCATTTTTACTAACTCTACTTCATGGTTTGGTTAGAATGCTTATGAGCAAGGCAGGTAATCTCTGTAGGTATCATAAGTATGATCTTGCTGTGATCAGAAGGCAGTGGTATCTTCAGGAACTATTTCCCATGTTCCATTCCTTTCTCCTAAAGGACAGTGGGAGTTTCAGAAGAATATCTTGAGTAAGATGAGAGTAACATTTCTTTGCTGCTCCTCTACATTCTAGCCCCTACCCTTTCTGATCATTTTTAGAAAGGATTCCCCTGAATTTCTCATCGGTTTGTATGATAATACCAAAGGGAGAATGAGCATCTAAAAATAACACATCCCTAAAAGGGAATTTGTAGAAATTGTTTTGTTTGTTTTTATTTTAAAATGCATTTTAAATATGTTTTTTAGAGCCACAGAAGATGTACTAAATATTTAGAGAGGTTCCAGATCACAAACTTGAACCATCATCTTTGGAATCTGCCAATCTAATCTCTTCTAAATAATGTATCTAAAAGTTCAGTTCCCCAATTAATAGTTGTCTTGTTTAATCATCAGGCACCCCTGCCTCTACCTCTTTACCAGTCTCCCTTGTTTGGCTGTCCTATCTGTCTGCCCTCTTGCTCCTTAGCTAGAAGCTGTAATGGATATTAGATTTTTCCAATAAAGTAGAAATTTGTAATCAAAAGGAATATAATCAATTTCTGTTTCAGTCTAGTGCCTGATTAAATCTAACCTAATTTATTTTACATAATGCTGGTTTTCATAATGTTTGTATATAATTTTTATATATTCATGTAAGGATTGATTTACTGCTTTTTTTCTACCCAACTTAATAATTCTGGCTCTGAAAATTTTAAAACTGTGATATGACTTAGATGCCCATTTATTTGTTTGGTTTGGACAGTGATCCTGGAATGAATGAACTATCTAGTATTGTGTTATTTTGTGCAAAGCATACTTTTTTAGAGAAGTCAGTTTTTAAAAATCATAGCCTTTTTCTTTATTATTGGAGAAATTTTTCATAAGGAAGAAAAAATAGGTCCTAACAATGTATATGTTGCTCAAAAAATGTGATCATCTAGGATATTATAGTAAGTTGCTATGGAAACAACTGATGTCTTCCTCAAGAGGAGAGAAAAGGAGGCAGTAACCACTAGCATGGTAGAGACCTGGGGGCCCCTCCACCTGAAGGGGGCTCTAAGCTGCTGTAGGTCAGCAAAACTGGTTTCTAGTATTCCCCAGAGATTTGGATTTGGGAAACTTGGTAGGAATAGTACTTATTTTTGAACATCCATTTTGGTTCTTCAAAGTGATCTCCAAACATGGGAATGTGTTTTCCAGACATTTCACAGGGCATACCTATCTGTGTACTTGTTGAGGTCCTCTCAGGAGTTTCCAGCTTTGTTAGATAAGAACAGGGATTGAGAAATTGAAGATATGCTATTACACCCAGAATAGTTTCGTGTGCCATTCTTTGTACAGAGAGATGATTCTACTGCTCTATCACAAGCGAACTTGCACTTTAGGTTGTTCATTTTAGTATCTGGGAAGCATTTATGCTTCCTTTCAGAGACCTCTTATGAAAGAGGTGGGCAGTTGGTGGGATGGTTAGCCAGAGTTAGCAGTGCTTAAGCAGTACCCTGCCTGCTCTCTGTGCCTGCCAAGCCAGAAAGCTTAGAAACCTTTAACACTAAAGTCTAGATAGGTGTCCTTGCTATGAGTTGTTAGTGAATCAAGAGGGGTTCATCTGTTTTCATGGTGAAATAGTCTAAAAGTACCTTTAGAGATTGTCAGGTCATGAGCCATGAGCTGCTCTTAATCCTCAGAAGCCTTATGGAAAGTAGGTGTACTGCTTCTATTCCTTGAGAAAAAATAGAATCTAACTTGATGAAGGGTAGATATTTATATTTATGTTTGCACTGTTCCTGTAGTAGCTGACATGGGTAAAATAATGAAATATAATAGGTTCTGTAAATTACTTGTTTAAATTTTGTCTAATTTTGCCTTTAGAAAAGAATTTAAATTATTCAAAGATAGCTAGCTATCCTAAAGTTTTCCAGTCCTTTGTGTATTTTTTTATGAATGAAATGATTTCTGTGGTTCAGGTCAAGGTTTATGTAAGTGTATCATGGTATAAATATAATGGTTTTCCAACTGTTTTAATTTCTCTTTTCCTGTGCCAGATACAGAATGCAGTCAACCCCTTTTCACTAACTTCTGTTCATCAGCCTGTGTTTTTCAGGGCAGCAGCTCCCAAAAGGGTTTTCTTAGTGATTATAAAGCAAGAAAATCTTATGTGGGCTTGTGTTGCAAAGGTGGGTGGTCTGTCATTGCTTTCTGACAAATTGAGTGATGGGTTTAAGATAAGCCTTTGGAGTTCCTGTCACAGTTTCCTGGGCTCCAAGGAAGGGTTGGGCCTTCTTTACTCTCAGTGTTTTTCAAATGTTTGTAAGTTCTCTTGCACTCCTCTAATAAAAATGAAAGCTCTCTGTCAAGAAATGGCTTTGGATGATTCGGAGATCGAGGGGGGCGAAAGTACACCTGAGACCTTCAGTTGGTCTTTTATTTATTTAGAATAAAGAGTAGTCTGATAAGCAGCCAGAGTTAGTGCTCCTTTAAAAATACTCTGAAAAGATGGGAACTCTCCCTCAGGAAAACTACAAAAGCTATTCCCAGTACATTGCAATTGCTTTTGATTTTTAGTCCTTTGAGCAAATGTCTGATGTTATGTTTTTGAGCTGTGGGGGAAATATATCTAAAAATTTTTAACAGATATTATTTAAACAATGATTATCTGACTGAATTCTGTGTGAGCTAGGCTCTAGGGCAGCTGCCCAGTTCTTTTTCTGTTTTCCTGGCAGTAAAACAGATAGTAAGTGATGTCTTAAAAAGTGATTTACTGACATCTAAAGACATAACCTTCTGGGCTACCCTGGGAATACCCCTCTGCAAATATTTACTGTTTTTTTAGACAAGGCTAAACCTGGATGACTCTATGAATTTATAGTTTTTCTACTCATATACCAGCTGCTAAATGAAAAACCATGATTTGTAATCTTCGTCTTGAAATTACTCCTAATTATTAAGCTCACCTAACCCCTTCCTGTTTAGGGAGGATTGCTGCTAGTAACGTCAGTTTGCAATGTTCTGCTTTAGATATGTGTCATATGGGAGTCTGGAAGCTGTAATAAATATGATTGTATTAATGTACTGGCTGCTTTGTCTGTTGATTTTGGGGGAAGGGAGAGGAGGCAGGAAAGTCTGCTACCAAGTGAAGACACTGACCTAGAAAGGTAAAATATTTCCAGCAATGTCATTGTTGTAACCTTGCGCCCTTCTATTTTCCTTCTTTTTTTAACCAAAGCACACACATCTAGATTTCTGTCCTGAGGTAGCTTTATTCTTCCAAGTTTATTTGACGTTCATGCTTAGAAAAGAAACTTGGCCCACATTGCAAATTATCTCTTCTAAGCCCCAAGCAATGGTAATTGCTCTGTGAATTCATTTCACATAATAGCTCACTGGCATTAATCCACTGTCTTCACGATCTACTGAGGTGTCACCATCGACTGCTCACCTCTGACTGTTTTGCCACATCTGATTAATCGATCCTCACTGCTTCCAGAAATGTCTGAATTTGCTACCAGCTTTTCTCTGAGCATGTACAGAAAGTTGAACTGCACAAAGATTTGCCACATTGATTACTTGATCTCCTCGGTGTGCTTCCAGAACTGAGTCAACTTGGAAAGATGGACAAACAAAAATCATCTCGATTCTTAGAGAGGGAAACTCAAGTTAACTATCAAGAACCAGTTCCCCACTTACTATGTTGGGCTCAGCTAACATATAGGAAATTTCTAACAACTGAAGATGTTAGAAATGCTCCAGTTCTGGCCTTGCTTGTTTGTTTTGTACCTCAAAGATTCCTGATTAAATAAGGATGTCCTCATTAATCAAAATAAAGGCAAGAGAATCAGCCAGCTTGACATTTAAAATATACAGTGACAGTTAAATATTGGCAGCAGAATGGAGGCCAGTGGAATGACATATATCACTCTTTCCCTATGCTTTCTAGGTAGGACTGTCAAGGAAAGAAAGTTTCTTGCCCAACTATGTTCTCTCCTTGGATGAAAGTAAAGCTTTTTTTTTTCAGTTGCTAAATTACCACTAGGTGGCAGTGGGTTAAAGAGAACGGCTTAACTAGAAACTAGAAGTCCCAGAAGGACCTGCCTTTCCAGATCTCCAATCACTGCAACAATTAATTGTTAAATGCTCACAAATCTGGACTGAGATAATCAAGGAAAACCAAGCTACAATAAACTCAAGTGACAATATAAATGTTTCTTACCAATATTGAATTTCCAAATGTGAAACTTAGGAAGCCTGACTGATGGCAGTCAGCCAGTGAATGTGCTTGGCAAAGAGTGTTTAAAAAAGAGATTGCCCAGTGTCCACTGTTTTAGGGAGTCTGTTGCTATTCTCATATCATGGGTTTCCTCATTTCATCTTGGAATACTGTCAACTCCACTCAGCCTCTTCCTATCTACTGGCCAAGGATCATCCTGTAAAGCTGTCTTGAAGTCCCTATTTCTCAGCGGCTGTTTGAATTTTGGAAACAATCCACCCAGTATGGATGCCTGAGAGCCCATTTGTGAGAAAGGTTGCAGCTCTCATGTGATCTCACAACCAGAATTGGGCCTCCAAAACTGCAAGCAAATATGCTGTCAAGTCAGAGGAAAATTTATAATAGACACAGAAAAGTCTGTAGTTTTAGGCTGGGCACCGGGGCAGAAGGAGGGGCTGGACAGTGCCAGGAAGTCTCAGCACTTCATGTCAACACCTTCAAAAGACCTTCCCCTCTCTACCTCAAGAAATAATTTCCCACCAGCCTCTGGTGAAGAGAAATACAGTATGTGAAGTAATAGATAGATACTATCTTCAAATGCATAAATTAAAAATAAGATTACAATAAAGAGCTTTGTCTCGTGCATTTTTGGACCTTGGTTGCTTGTACTACACTCAATCACGCTATGTGACAGGGAAGAGGACAGACAGAGCGTGCAATGAGAAATACTATAATTTTTTAGCATTTCAACCCTGTGCCAAACATGTTACATGCACGATTATCTTGTTTACATACAACCACTGTGAGGAAAATTTTTGTCCCTATTAATATATGGGAAGGAACTGAAACAGGTTAAATAACTTGCCAACATCTTTCTGCTAATAAGTGGTGAATTAGCAATTCTATCTAAATCTCTCTGACTCATAAGTTTGTTGTTAGTCAGTTGCACCTTAAAATACTATACTCCTTAGGTATTAACTAGCAAATTTAAGGGCACGCTCAGATATCCCCTTAGACTAATCAGATACCAGAGGGCTGAATTTAAAATATGGCTTGTTGGTTTGCTCAAGTGTCTAGTCCAGGGGTGGGCAAACTTTTTGACTCGAGGGCCACAATGGGCTCTTAAACTGGACCGGAGGGCCGGAACAAAAGCATGGATGGAGTGTTTGTGTGAACTAATATAAATTCAAAGTAAACATCATTACATAAAAGGGTACGGTCTTTTTTTTTTTTTTTAGTTTTATTCATTTCAAACGGGCCGGATTCGGCCCGTGGGCCGTAGTTTGCCCATGGCTGGTCTAGTCTCTTCTGATTTGCACTGTTCTTTGACAAGCGGTGGATGTACACTCAGGCCTTCATGGCTTCCAGAGAGGACCAGGGCAGCGGACGCTCCCAGGGCTGTGGACCAGTGGTGGCCCTGGAAAGGGTATTTTACCCACTAGTTAGTTTGGGCATTGAAGGGCTATCCATAGAATAGTCTTGTTAAAAAGACAGAGTGAGTCGTGGTTTTTTCCCAATTCTTCCCTGTGCATTTAGAAGGTCTGCCACCCCTTTCTTTCCATTGTGTTCCAGCACTTGGGCAGAATGCTTTCTCTTAGTCTTGACTATACACTTACCTGATTTACACAACTCTTCTCAAAGCTAAATTATGGATATGATAAGGCTACAGAAAAATAAAGAACCCAGAGTCTCCTGAGACCTAAAAGGGGTCAAAAGCAGAAAGGTTTGGTAAGTCTTGTAAAAGGGTTGTCTATCTTGTAAAATTCCCACCTACTTTATGATGTGTTAATTCCCAGAATATGTCAATCCTGGGAAGAGCCCACTATCCTAGGCTCTTTCACTAGTTACTTCAGAGTCTCAGTTTCTGGGTCTCTAAAACAGGGACAACACCACCTGCCTCATAGGGTTGGTGATGATACGTGCTTGGTCCAGACAGCAAAGACTGCCCTTCCTGCTGGGATGAGCTTGCTGTGTGATGTTCAGCAGCTTTCTTCACTTCCCTGTGCTTGTGTTTCATGTCCTGAGACCGGGCCTGGCAAACAAATGGACACAGCAGCACGTTGTCATCCTTTAGACTTACACACAGGTGTTTGAAAGATTGTTTCCAGGCTGCCTGAGTTCTCCTCGCTTCTTCAGTAGGCTCTCCCTGGGTTAAAACTTCAGAATATCATCAACTTCCCCACTGCTGGGAGAGCTGTGTGCTCCCCCAGGAATGACATTAGGCTCCACGGGACATTCATTAGTTGAGGTTACGAAAGGACCACAGGGCACTGGAATGGTAATTTCCTACATGGGACCCCAGTGACCCAGAGCGAGCTAGCTCAGCTGGTCTGAGCATGTGGCTAATGAGGGAAGGGTCATGGTTTCACTCCTGTGTGGGCCAATTAGTGTCACGTGGAAAAGACGCTCCTGGGCCATCAGACAGCAGCCTTACATGTGTGGCACTGCTCACCAGCACAGCTCAGTAGCTATCATCACTATCGGAAACCCAACCCAAAGCCTACATTTTCTTTCTTATTGCATAGGCTGTTGTTTCCAAAACTTGAGTCATTTTCGGAGCTCCTTCATGATTTTTTGCCTTATCACAAGTAGATCACTGCATTTTTATTCAGAATTTTTGTATAAATTCACTCACTTTTTAGCTTACACTTAAAAGTGTTGGTGCATCACTACCATCAATAGAAAATTGGGAAATTTACCCTAAATTTAAAGTATACATTAAAATAAACATACAATTATTGAAATTAAAATGTTAATCCTCATACCAACTGCAAACACCTCCTGAGCCACAAGTGATCAGTGTACTGTGTGTTA